TGTGTGTGTGTGGTAGAAGTATCGGTTTTTGTACTCTGTATCGGCAAGTACTCAGATCCAAGTATCGGTATCGTATCGGTTTGAAAAAATTGGTATCGTTGCATCCCTACTTCTTTTTTTTATTTATATATATGTGAAATTTGGTTATCATGCATAATGACACAACAACATGGCAGATGGTTTGTAAGGATGTAATGGAACCAAGTTTTTCTTTTCTTTCTTTTAAAAAATCAAATAGAGAGAGAGAGAGAGAGATTGATGCTTATATTTTTGGAAAATAAGACTTGACATCTGGTGACTCCTTCCAGATTTCTCAACTCGCATTGCTAGTTTTAATATTTCTGTCAGGCCAATGTAGCTGTCCAACATGGCCAACACTGTGATTGTGAAACTGTCCTTGACACTAGGATTATGGTGCCGTGCCAGATGTTCTGATGTTTAGGTTTAAATGCACCATTGAAAGCACTTTAAATAGAGGTTCCACATGAAGACCTTCACTTGCAGCATGTAAATAAACAAACAGGTGGCGGAAATGATTGTTTACCACAGATGATGTGCACATAGTGACAAAACTATTACTGAGAACTTGATGGTTTAGATAAGTAATTGCATAGGGAGTAAAGAAGTTCTACCCTAACCTTACAGAAAAGGTGCCTGCTAAACAGATACTGGTTTAAGAGTTTAATTTACTGAGTTTTGGTGAACTGAGCTGAAGAAAAGCCTTCTTTGAACAAAAATAAATCTGTTCGTACTTTTTGCTGAAGTTAAATCAGCCGAAGTCGCTGGTTTAATTTTTCACCATGTTATTAGTTTCAGTGCTTGATGTTTTTTCACTCCTCATGTTATATCTGTGTCCTGGCTTGTAATAAATGTATACTGATATTCAAATAGTTTTCAATAAAACAGCAGGTGCTGCTCTTAGCACATTGCGTATTTTACTCTTTGATTTTCTGTTTTAATGTCTCTATTCCAAACAACTGAGCATGTGATGAAATGTGTTTATACAGTGTTGCCAGATTGCTACTTTTTTTTCATGATGTTTTATTGGATTTGACGTGTGTCATGTGTACCTGCACAGATGCTGATGGTGAAGGCAATTGGAACAATTCACAAGGTGTGTGCGCTTGTAGTAGAATGGCAGATGTAAGACTTTAAAATTTGAACGCTATCTTTCAAAGTCACTGTGGAAAAAGAAAATCTCCATTATGTCACCTGTAAAACCTGCAGACTGTTTGAACACTTTTTAAAGATTTCAGGCCCTTCAGTTGCATGCCATTCACAAACATGTCCCTTAGCATGTTGTAGCCCATGCAAGGTACCTTTGAGACACGTGGTAAAGAAGCGGTTTGATGGGCAACTTTTTATTTTTTTTAATCTATTATAGATCCCAATGCCAATCCTAACAAACGGCAGAGGCAGCCTGCTCTTCTGGGCGATCACCCACCTGATTATGGTAAACATCGCATAATCAAATTAGTGTGACATG